TGAACTTAAAGATGTATTGAATCGACGCAAAACACGTAGTCTCGACTTGGATCCTGAAACTCTGCAGTTGACTCAACCTCAGAACATGTCGATCGACCGGATCTCATTATCGGATACACGTGTTCCCATTGCCATGCACTGACGTATATCATTATATTTAATTAATCAATAGACAATATCATAGACATTCACTGAATCACTTAGAAATTCACCTTTATTAATTTTGTATTATATCACATTGTTGCATATTCGAATTTCAAATCACATTATTGGCTCCATATTATTAAGATAATATTCATTATGAATGCACACGTGGTTACTTCAAATACCAGATAAAGTAAATATGTGTCACAGGAACTTTGTGACAAAGTTACCATTGTCGTCGATATAAATCAATAATTCCTTATACTTTCCATAGTTTCATTTTCTTTCTCTCAACATTTGTTTCAGTCTCATACACAAAAATATCATTTCTTTGTTTTTATTTTTCCATTACGTTCATTCATGATATAAATATTTTCAGTTACGTTAAACATAGCCAATAAAATATTTACAGTTATTATTGTTCATATTCCAATCTTTTTTTACTTCAGTTCTTCTTGTCTAATGTTTCGAATGTTCCACAATACTACCCAATTTGGGGATATGACTTGTTCATATTCCAAAGATCCGCAACTGATTTTCGCTTTCCCTGATCAAATGAAAGTCTCTGTTGTTAATTAATTCATCCATTCATTCAAAAAATCAGAAATTTCTCTATACTTGTCTGTAGAACTGAAAAGTAATTGGATGGTTGTAAGGGACGGAAGATCAACATCGATCATTGTCTGCTCATGAAAGACACGGAGAAAAAATTTCTTTCACTTGCTTACCACGCATGTAATGATTCACTGTGATACGGTATAGTCGGTAGATTGTGACAATCACAAATAGTATTAATTAAATGCAGATACTTTCTCCAGTTTGTTTGATCGTTTGGGATAGTCTGTTAGTTCCTTTTTTGGATCGTAATTCCGCTATTGGTTAAAAAAATTCGTGTACGTATTTAATCCGTTGGCGAGCATTTACAATCTGTGTTAACACCTGAAGATGCCTATTCACATGTCTGCTTGTGACAAGGTCGGCTTTTTTTTCCCTCGTTGATTCGACAAAAACAGACAGAATAAATCAATTAGGTGCTATTAATTCTTAAACAATGTTGACTGCAGGATTGACGTCACTCAGAAAAATTAAATGGGCCCCAATTGGAACATAATTGGTCACAGTGATTAAGGAGAAACCTCAGAATCTGCAATCCGAAGCACCACAGACTCTAACGTGTCTGTCCCGGGGCGACGGAATGGCAGCCTTGATAAATCCCTCCACGAGATTATGTTGCCCATACCAACGCAATCGTGAAGAACTGTCCCATTTCTCCCGCCAGCATTATAGGAAGAAGATTGGGTAATTTTTCTACGTATAGTATAGATCATCATAACATCGCATCTATTCGACACTGGTTTTTCCTCATCAGAAGAGCTAATACTAAGGCATGTTAAGAACTTATGAAACTTACTTCAAATGATGATGCAGCAACTTGTTTTTTGCAATCCCATTTTACTTGTCAAGTTTTTGATGGACATCTTTTATATTCGTGCGAAGCAGTTGTGCGAATTTGGCGTAATTGTGCTAAAACTCATACATCATAATGACACATTTTGCGCGCAGCAGCACGAGTCATACGGAACGAGGGAAATCACTTTCTATGTTCTTGTATAAAAAGTCTAGCGTTAGTTATTATGTACACTTTAAGGTCGCTTTTGTCTATGTAGTATATTTCGTTCTTATCATCACAACCAACACAGCCCGTAATATTTCCATTTATGAAAGAAACAGGTGAAATTACCCACACAGCTCAACAGCTGACTGTAGAACAGCCAATAATATTTTAGGTGATGCTGTACGACATGCCGGATTGCTGATTATCTTATCCATCTACTACGGTATATATTAATATCTGTTGACAAAAAAAATTGCCATCACTTACAGTTCATTGCATGGTGCTTTTACTGCAGGACAGGTATCAAAGAGATACCTGCGTTCACCGTCAGGGCTTATTTTCAATGCCAACCCCATACGCATTGCATTAGGAGGATTCACAACTATCCCAGATGGTTCGAGCGGCCGGCATGGTACCGTGGCGCCTGTCTATAAATAATAAAGACTTGGTATGTAACTACGTAACGGATGACACAGTATTATGTTTTTGTTATTTTCTCTCTGACACCATCGCAACAACCTATTCCGAGTTTATTGTTCCTTTCAACAAACTATCGTAAACTTATTAGTGTCTTTGCTAATTAAAATCTTTGAACCAACCACTCCCTTATATCTGATGTTAATAGCAGACACAATATCCACCTCGAACACAGCCCGATACGAGCAGCCAATTATGAACTACTTATTTAATTATGAATTTCTTGTAAGTAAGTAAAAATTTGCTCCTTGCTTTCAGCGTTTGGGTTCTTCTTAACGAACCGGAAAATCATTCGCCAAAGTGGGACTAATACTAAGTAATTTCTTTTTTTTCTTGTAGAAAAAAAATGAACTCTTCGCTAATTAAATTATCAAGCGAGGCCTTTGATAAGTTTGGCGGAAAGTACGGGAATGATTCGTTTAATAATCCCTGCATTCCACCAATAAGTCATGAAAATCCGCACAACACAACACAACGAACCAACCAAACACCATCCTAACTCAATGTATAACGCTCTGATTGCTTATGATTAGCCGAAATACGACGAGTTTATCTTAATATTCACACGACATGACCTCTAAAAGGACCACTAGATCCGGTCGAAAAAAAAGGTCAAAGAAGAAGGACGTTGAGCGTCCACAGATTTGATTTGTGACAACAATATCAGCTTGTAACAGAAACAAGCGAGACAAAGGGACGGGCATGATGGGATTAAACGCTCCGGCAAATCGAATAAGAACAGTCAGTCATTTCGATGGACGGCACCTCTCTTTGAACTCGCAAGGATTCAAACCAGAAAACTGGAAAAATATTCCGGTTGGTTCTGATGGCATGTCCCGGAATAACCTCTCCGCCATGGCGCAACTACAACGTTATTTGAAGATTAATTCAGCGACGACACACAGTTGTGCCGGAATATTTGAGTGAAAGATTAAAACTGATCAAATTTGTACGCGGATGTAAGTGATAAGCGTATGTATATATTTGTATATTATAGCCACACTGTAGCGTTCAAAAAAGTGACCAAACTTTCAGAAACGCCATTTAAATTTATGTACATAAGATTTAAGTATTTACACACGAATTAGCAAAATGGAAAATGTCTTGTTTATTTATTATTATTTGTGTGGAAATAAACAAAACGTTACGATTGCTAGTGCGAAACACTTGTTCATTTTACGCACGTCAATGTCACATAAACTAAAGCAAAGAGAAATACTGTTAATTATAGTGGCATATGCGTTTGTTTGCATAATCGTAATTTCGATGATGGTTGACGATTTATCAATTGAACTTTCATGTCAGTGCGAACACCAAAGCACGGATGTTATCGTCTTCGGTTTTCTGCGCGAGGCGGCTGCGTCCCCTCACCGTGACAATAGGGCTCTGTGGTGTCGATGCTTAGTGATGAGGCCGCCGACTTAGCAAACCTTGTTATATTATTCAAGTATCTATTCTCTAATATCGCGCACATCATTATCTTTTTCGAATTATTTCACGGATGATTTATCATCCATGTTTCGTAGTACACTTGTTGCAGACTTACAATGGATTTATATCTGAGGCAATATATATGTTCTCCACCGGCCTTTCTATACTATTTATAATATTTATGAATACATAACAATTACAACGTTTCTAATTTAATCTATTCTTGATGGCCTATTAATTTCGTTAATATACATTTAGTGATAACATCGCCGTTTCATCACGAAACAAATAATATATCTAGATATTTTTATATTCAGGTTTACGCGGCGCAAGAATATTTTTTTGAGTGTTTCCTATAACAAAATTGATCAGGCGTAATTTATGCATGGTCGACTATTTATTTAAAAAGGATTCCATATATTCGTTAAGACTTCAATATATTCTTTATATTCTTTGAGTATGCGATATCAAGCTCCTTCACACCTAGCAGCTGAATCCTTAATTTGCTTTTTTTTTTGATTTGTTATGTAAAGAGAGCTTTACTTTCTTCTGACGCCTATCAGGTCAACAACCGTATGCGACTTGCATCTGTAGTGATAGTAGTTGTGGCATGACAAAACTATGTGGCATATAAACAACTTCAAGAATTATCATCGCTTCACACAAATTGAAACCATCTCTGTATAACACGCTCTGCGAAATATTTGACAAAGGCACATGGAAATTGCGTAGCAAAGTATTAACATTTACATTCAGCATAACGCATGATTTATTGGAATCGAAATTGTAATATGCAAATACAAAGGGATGACAGTCACAAACATGACCCTATTCATTAGTTTAGCATCAGTGAGGGTGATATTATGGCAGTGACTTCTCTACTTGTAAAGCTAAATCATCAAGCGTCATTAATCCTCGGACAATGATGTGGTGAATGCTTTATAATTATCTGATATGTAATGTATTTTTTTTTCATTACTATCTACCTTTTTCTCAATAGATCCGGTCTGATACTGATTTGAATGCTGTAACGTTTTTAAACAATACTTGGCAAGATCCTGACCTTGGCCAATATATTGACATCTATTATTTCATATTATGAAAGTAAGACTAATAAGTCTTTGATAAATTGTATTATATCTTCGGTGATAACACATACATGGAATCCATAATGCAGGAATACGTTGAGACTACGCGCTGTAGTATAAATGAGCGATACATACATACGTAGCAGTTGTATTGCTTGCAGTATAAAACATTAACTCAACGGCTTATTTTGAACTTACTGCATACGTAATCTCTCGACTAAAGGTCTTTAGCCGTTCAAATATCATTAAAACTTTCCATCAAATGCATTTTCGGGCCTTGGAACACGTTGGTTGTCCCAATCATTAAATTGAGCTTCTTTTGCTTGTAATCTCTAGAAAAACATACAAAAATCTTTTTTAATAAAACCGTATCCATTATACACTTTGTAGCAGAGTTTAATTACCCAGTATTCTTCCTGAGCATTCAGCTTTCTCCGATTCGGATTCATTTTTAATTTTTCCTCGCTATCCAACTAATACCATCAATGAGGGTCAGAAAGTATTCTCACTTTTCGTAAAAGAAAAACACAAACCTCATCGTTAATGTTACTTACAGACTTGACGCGCTTCGCATAAGCATCATATCTTGTTTGCGTTATAAAGCTCAGCCCATACGAACCAGCAATTACAGAAAGTATCAAAGGTAATCCGACCAAGAAGAACGGATACTTTCGAACAAGTGTGTTCAATGGAGGTGTTTTCAGTGGCCGACGTCCGAATACAACCATTGTGAGCAAACATTTCAGTGGGATGACCAAATGTTTATCGCAATGATCGACATACGAAATTTGACTCCATGACTATTTTGCCAACTCCACCACCGGCTAGATACACATATTTAATATCCAGGTATTTCGAGGCAGACAATGATATGTATATGCGTTGAATGTTATATTCTAATCCCTGTAATTCAAGGCGAGGCGACATAGCTTTATCGGTCTTTGCGGGGACGTTGTCCTATTATTATTACGAACGCAGCAATCCACGAGAACCTGGAAAGTCGTTATACGAATTGATTCAGAAAAGAGTTGGAAAAATTCGCCTACTAGGGAATGATATCAATCAATAAGGTTCAGCATCCAGAAACGATTTTCGTAACATGAATCCAAACATTGCTTTTTTTTTATTTGGTCAATCTATTATCATAGTTCATTCATGGTTTTGCGTTTCCATTCTCTACTCTGAATCAGGCTGTCAATTATCTTAATACCACGGTGTCCCCAAATCGGATTTTTCTCCCATGAACGCCGCTCAGCCAATTCAACAGATAATTCTTGCGGAGTACGGTTTCTCTTAGCCGATTCTTCTAGGATACTCTTTGTCAGATTGTAAATTGAATTCTAAGGCGCATTATAAGTGTAGCAAGATTGTCGAATTAAAACATGAAATTCGGAGAAACAAGAGAGATTGGGACGAAAACGCTTAAACTTACATCCCACGAATCACCCAAATGCATTTCAATATTGGGATCATCATCGATATATCCTACCGCTTCATCTGCGCAGTTTACAATTCCTGGTCGTACGAGTGTTTGCATTAATTGAGCTTAACATTCTTTCTGCGATATCAGTATCATCTTACCATTCAACCGTACTTACCCATTCTATTGACCAAAAAGTCTGTTCATAACAGGCACAACCGCATTAGCTTTGTATGAATAAACAACCATGTGCTAGTCTCCTTCCTTACCGGGTACATAAATGATCCCTCGTTCGGCCAAAAGTTTGTCATCGCTCATTAAATCTGTTGGTATAAATGACGAGATTGAAATTTTAATGCCGTATCTTCGTCGTGAAGCTGTCTTATAATATTACCATCGCTCATACAACAGAAATATCGATGAGAATGATGTATGACCAATTTAGACATACCATGAAGTTGATTGTTTGCGGCGCCGCAGATAATCTTTGCTTTTATTTTGGGAATTGTCTGTGGGTTCAGAATGCCACCAACTGCACATGGTGCTACTGCGTCTACATCTGCATGTTGAGGTTGCGTTAGTCGTTGCTTTTACACATACGCTCATCCTAACGTTGCATTCCACAAAAAATAAATACCCTCATATAGTATCGTATCTTCTTGAGAGGAAATGGTTTTCAACTCAAGCCGTCCGCTATCAGCCCACTTTTTCAATTTTTTTGAAGCCAAATTTATTCGTGATGTATCAATATCGGAAGCAATGACATGAGACACTTCTTTGTTGAGAAGAAGATCTACGAGTTTGGTGCCAACGTGTCCAACACCCTAAATGAGAAACGAATCATTTGAGATGGAAAACTAATATGTATTATCAAACAAATAGTTGTTAAAAGTGATAGCACACCTGAACAGCGATTGTTGCACCCTCTAGTGATTTCCCAATATATGACAGAGCAGCTTCTAAGCCTCGAAGAACGCCTCGAGCCTATCAATTATGACATATTACGTGAGACGCAAAAACCAAAACGAACATTGCGTTTCACATGTCTAGACCTACCGTTGGTCCACTTGGATTTCCTGATCCGCCAAATTCATGTGGAATACACGTTGTAAAACGCGTCTTAGAAAATATTGCAGCCATGTCTTGATCTAACAATGTGACAGGCAATGGTATCTATTTTAATGTTATAATTTTAGAAAAAACTAAAGACGCTCATGACAAATACCAGTCGTTCCTACGTCTTCAGCAGTCACATAACAACCTCTCAATGCGCTTGAAATTAATAATGCGTATAAATAGTCATGCATTTGAACAATCCGTACTTATAAAAAACGCTAAATATGTTTCCAACATACGTCATAAAACTACCATACTCTTCAAACACCATTTTTCTGCCGTCGAGCTTATTGCCTTGTCTTCTGCATTGTCCAATTATTCACAGGTAATTAGTTACAATGAATAATTCGTTCCTTTATGCATTCTACTTTTAACGCGATACTCACAGACCGATTCCAGTATTCCTTGCCAACAAACCCTTTCCGCCTCCCCACCATATCCCGGCTAGAGCATTCTTATGGGTCATGCCACGAGACAGACGTAGACCATCTCGAAACCAGTCTTCTACAGTCTTATAGGACCAGTTCCGGACCCCTCCTGCGCCAGCACCACGGCATGTGCGATGTATGAACGCTCCCTTTTTGGAGTAGAAGAAAGTATGAGCAATGGGAAAAAAGAAAAGGGATTTGAACGCGTCACTGAATTTTCACCTGCAAAACACCTGACCTTGGACCGATCTGGATAAAGAGATGGTCAATACAAACATTTAGTAATCACCAAATATGTGAGCAATTTTTTTGAATGCAATCCAAACCAAACCAGTCCAATCCGTCACCACGAACCTGACCAAAGATACCCTCGTGTGAATCAAAATCGATTCCTTCATCTCTAAAATATTCTAGGATTGGATCCAATACGTTGTGTGATGTTGCAAACTTTCTTGCATCCGCTTTATAGACAGCATGAAACGTAAATATCCCGCGAGATCTAAGAAAAGATGTAAAGTCCGGGAGACTTAGTGCGAGAAGCGGCGGTTTTGTAACCATTAAAAGAGAAGTATGATATTCAATTCAATACTAGACAGACAATACATTGTGATGATTTTAAACAATTTCTGAAAAGGGGCTTTTTTTCAGTGTCACAACAACGTGACTTTGATACTAGACATTAAACTGACGAATATAAACAGTTTTGTTTACTATATTTAGATATTATGATATTCATAATGGACTAATACTAGCTCCATATGATATTCGTTTAGTTGAGAGATTGCAAATGTCCAAATTGGGGTTTAATCATTGTCAGAGAATCCGTTTAATCTGACACGCGTCAAAATGAAAAAACTTTTAATTCTAGGAGGGCGATGTCTTTGGTGGTGTTTTTGACCAAACAAGTTTCCCTGCTATCCTCTTTTTATCGAGAATGTCCATCAGATCCTTCCCGATTAAGGTTCAGTATGAGAATATAAATAATGCAGCCGGAGGAATACGTCATGTCACGTCAACTCGCGATCGAAGGCCGAATGATAAAATTTTGATAACCAGAAACGCGACAAATTATTTCAATATTGATTTGCCCATTCAATTGATAGTATTCTTTTAACTATCGCGAGAAACTTTTATTCACAACGTAAAGTTCAGTTTAGGCTGTGTTAGCATATTATTTTTATAAACGTCTTCTCTTAATTTTCTGATCTAATAATTTGTCGCAATTTATTAATCGACTTGCTACGCATTGCACATGAATGGCATGCTCAACATACTGACAACCACTTTTTAACGATGGATTTTTGCTCTCTTTATATAGGAATCGCGTTTCGTAATTTTAGCTAAAAACTCTATGCGAGTATGTCTCGATCTCATTGCACACTTTTGGTTGTAACTTCCTAATTTCATTACAACATTCTTATTCCGATGTAGCATATTTTTCACCTGCGGAATTATGACGTTGACTTCAAACCTTATTTTATACGTAACATTACCATGAATCGTTCGGTAAAGGAAACGGGTGAAAAGGAAAAATGAGTTAAAGAAATTAACCGACAGCCTAATTTTTTTCAGATACCGAATTATAGTAAAATTTTTTTCTTTTTGTGTGTAATAGCTATAGTTTCACACGCGAATACTTTATTTACAGTAGTATATTAATTTTAAATATAT